CAGTGGTCTGTGATGCAGAGGTAGTTGGAGGCCAGCATTTGAACCCGCACGGGGTGCAGTAGGACATGTGGACGTGCACGTCCATTCGACCAGGACGTAACAGAGCTGGATCAAGTCGCTGTTTGTGATTCGTGGTGAATACAATAATCCTCTCGTCCCCGCAGCTCGACCATAATCCATCAATGAAATTCAGTAATCCTGATAGAGTAACCTAAAATATTTTAATTGTGTTAGCAAATTCTAGTAAGAATATGTCTGGTGCAATTCAGTTGCTATTCTTTTACCTTCCAATCACTAAATCAATTCTTATTTGTTTGTTTTTTGTTTTCATTTTTCAATTCTTAGATCATTTATAAAATTTCATACAAAGTTTAGTGATTGAAAGGTAAAAGAATAGGAATTGAATTGCATTGGACATATTCTTAATAATCCAATCACTAAACAAAGTTTTTCAAATAATTATGAGCTTTGAGTTCTTTTACCGGCTGGTTTCCTTGGTTAAATCCTGCATAAACTCTCGAAGGATTCATAGCTCTGGCTGGTTCAATCCTATTCTGCAACTCAATAGAGCAATCAATATCTTCCACAACCAATATGGATTTATTCGCTGTTGAAATCAACAGCTTCCTCAATTCAGCATTGCCTCTAAGATCAGTCAACTCTAAATCATAAATGTCAAAATTCAGATAATTCGCCATTGCAGCAATCAAGCTCGATTTTCCAGTTCCTGGTGGTCCAAACAATAAATACCCACGTTTCCAAGCCTTGCCCACTTTCCTATAGTACTCTTTTCTCTTTACAAATCTCTCAAGATCCTCCATTATCGTTGCTTCACCTCTGCATCCATAGCCAACGTTTCGAATCTTGCCGGGTGATCCAGATTAACCGATTGCCAAACATCCCCTCCTCTCCTATGCAACCTGTCGTGTCTCACGGTATGAATTTTCATATCTTCTTCTCTTCTGTCACTTGTTTGGACTTCATCAGGACGTGTCAATGTATCTGGGTTAACACCATGTCCTTGTG